TCAAAATTAAAATATATATATTTTAATCCATATCCTATTTATCATTTGTTCGAAATCATCTTGAGATGATTTCGGGGCTTTATTGTCCCCGCGGCCCGGTCCTCGACCAGGCCTCCACCCCCAGGAAGCAGCCCGTGACAGCTGACTAACACCCAGGTACCTATTTCACTGCTAGGTAACAGGGGCATAAGGTGAAAGAAACTCTGCCCATTGTTTCTCTCCGGCGCCCGGGATCGAACCCGGGACCACAGGATCGAACCCGGGACCACAGGATCATAAGTACAGCGTGCTGTCCGCTCGGCCCCCGTAAGGTGAGTATTAACCTAGGCGGGTAACCTATCAAGGCCGATGCCGCAATTAAATTTTAATTATTCCGCACACTCTATCCTTACGTGAAACCTCCGCCTCTAGTCAGCGAGAGGACCCACTTTGACTTGAACGGTAGAGCGACGGTCTCGCTTCATACAGGGCGGCGTTCAATCCCCCAACCCTCCAAGTGGTTGGGTGCCATTCCTTCCCCCCCCCCCGTCCCATCCCAAATCCTTATCCTGACCCCTTCCCAGTGCTATATATATAGTCGTAATGGCTTGGCGCTTTCCCCCCTGATAATAGAAACAAAAATTTGCGAGAACAGCGTATATTACCTACCTTGGGTCAGAAGCCGTCATTAAGGTCTGGCACGACCTTAATTAAACCATTGGCCTTAGTTAATTGAACCATAACACCTTAAGACCATTGAAGACGGGTCAAATGGCCCGTCTTAAAAGTCTGAGCCACTTACCGGTGGCTCAGACGTCTTAGCTCGTCACTTCTCATCAACATGAACAGTACTAAATGTCTTATCTGCCCAAGTCTCCCTTACACATAAAAGTTCCTTTTAGCACATTCGAAAGCAGTAATTTACACTTACCTATAAGGATAATGAAGAAAGTCTTGGAGACGTCGGGGGGGGGGGGTAATGGGAGTGTCACAGGCCAGTCTGGGTTGGCACCGGTGCCACACTTCAAGAAATATCGCCACCTCTAGCGACCCCCTTAGTTGTGAAGTCGAAAATGTCTTTTTATCCGTTTTAGCACTTCGCAATATCACTTTTTTCCACGAGAGATTTGAGAGGGAGAGAGAGAGAGAGGGGGGTGGAGAAGGGGGGGGGGATATTGGAAGAGAAGCAAGGAGTGAAAGGGGCAAGTTGATGAGGGAAGGAGAGGCATGAGAGGGAGAGAAAGGAAGAGAAGGGAGAGGAGAGGCATGAGAAGGAAAGAGAAGGAAAGAGAGATGTAGAGATGAGGAGTGAGAGATGTTGAGGAAGAAACGTAAGAGAGGAGGGAGATTGGGGCGGGTAGAGAAGGAAGAAGAGTGGGGAGAGGGTGGAGATAGAGAGAGGGAGGGAGAGAGAGGAGAAGAGAGAGAGAGGTGGAGAGAGACACGGGCACAGCCGGGGACCACTAATTTTCCATAAATAAGACACTACACCGGGGGCGCCACGCCGCCCTCACTCTCCCGTGATGTCAACAACAAATGACAAATCTTCGACATTATATTTCCTCCAATTTAAAAGTACATCACAATAATTAAACTATATTGTTGTCAATTTAGTTAATTTATCAATCACTACTTATCTTATGGGAATTGGGGCTAGCGTAATAAGAGTTTAACAATTAAGAAATAAGTTTCAGCTGCATCTGCTAGAGATTATCTTCGTTGTGTATGGAGTTCCATAGGTACTGAAAACTTATTAAGGAGTATCAAATTGGTCGACCACAATATTTGCACATTATTTGATTTGTTTATGATGTAGAGCTCACTCTCCCAAGTACATTTATAGTCTCGTTCTCTGATATCTTCCCCAATCACCACCATCCACAAGGGGGTGAACAGAGATCGTAAACCAGAATTAGTAGATCTTAACTGACGTCATGTCGACGCCATATTGGAACTCCTTCTTCAGAATTGTGAAATATAGTATTTTTATGCACTGTAAGCCTCTCTATGAAGCCTCGTGAACATGAATATTATATATATTGCCTAACACACTAATGAATTAAATTGTATTACCTAAACATGATAAATGATGATTTTTTTCACTGTGTGAGAAACAATTTTAAATGTAATTTTTTTAAATTGCAAAATTAGTTAACAGATGAACGTACAAATAGAAAAAAATATGTAAACACACAATTTAAGTGTAAATGACGAGTTTGGAGAATTACTAAGACAAATACCTATACAAAACTTCTTATAATTACGTATTTTATATAATAATTCACTAGACGTGAACAATGACAGTCTCGCGGAAATACCCGATAAATAACCATTTGCCCGGAACGAAATGGGCCTAAGTGGCTTTCCCAGAATTTAGGCCTACCATTGACACACCAAAAATAGTCACAAATTACTCACCACTTGGGCGTCACGGTAGAGCGACGGTCTCGTTTCATGCAGGTCGGTGTTCAATCCCCAACCGTCTAAGAAGTTGGGCACCATTCCTTTCCCCCGTCCCATCCCAAATCCTTATCCTGACCCCTTCCCAGTGCTATATAGTCGTAATGGCTTGGCGCTTCCTCCTGATAGTTCTCTTCCCTTCCTTTTGAATTTTTTCAAATATTTAAATTAATAATACAAATATTAAGTGGAATGGACGTGACGTCACACGACGATTGGCGTAGTCTACTAATATCTTGACACTGACGTTTCTCTTAAGTTTAGTGTCTACAGAGAGCCTACGAATAATTTATCTTATGTTCATTATGTCTCAGGGTACAGATACAATGTGAAACGATACATTTTTTTCCTCATTGTATCCAAGACCTCTTCGGGTTGTTAGCCCAGAATTCTTGGATGAAGAATTTAATTATATTGATTTTATTGGTCTCAAGCTTTGTTATCCACAATTTTTTTTTTAAGTTTTCCATAACAAAGCCCAACGTAAATATTATAACAAAATATGAAAAATATGAACTGAAAAAATACACCCAAAAATGTGTTATGTTTACCATATTTTGCTGGGTTCAGCAAAATTGTCAACGCCTTGAGACGTTTTAATATACTTGTGTTCTTGAATTATGAAAATGCAGTTGGAAATGTATTAGTTAGAAACAGCCCTCGTTATGATAACTTGTCATTTACAAAATACCTTGTACAGATTGTAATAAAATTCTATATAGGTCAAACATCCAAACTTGAAATTTAGGGTTTTGCAACATATATATTCTGTAAAATATAACCAATTATCCAAGACTGTTTATTCATTTGTCAGAAAATTCTCAACAAATTCATTGGGAGAGAGGGGTTACTTTAATAGCTAATTGTAAAAGGATTTTCAACAGAAACATTATTGAATTTGCTTTAATACAAATCACAAAGCCATACAATGTGAACAATATTTACGGTTTGTACAATTTGGATCAATTTTTAATTGATCAATTAAAAAACGATTTGAGTAAGGTCATTAATACACAGTTATCTCTATAATCTCATTATTATCTCATTAGTATTGCTGCTTCCTGGTACTCACATGTATTGGTCATCGGGCCTTCTGCACTTTCCTTTTAGCTTTGTGAACCAAAGACAATGGTTTTCACCTCGTCTCAAGGAATGATCTCATATATCCACCACGGACGTGTAATACTCATCCTTCTCATGATGTATTGTTAAATGCGAAAGCACTTAAGGAATTTCCCGTCTCATTTTTTTCCTTCGTGGTCAAGCAGTCATACATACATACATTATATATATAATATATATTATATAATATAATATTATATATTATATATATATATATTATATATATATAAAATATATAAAGAATAAAGTGCAATAGTGCACTAACCCAATGGAACAATAATCCAGTATTTAGAAAACATTGGGTTACAGTATTTGGAAATTAACACTACGTATGTTGAAAACAGACTGAATATTTCGTCCCCAAAATGTGACAATAGTTCAAGGTTTCCATCACCAAATTTGATTACGTTTTCACAAATGATATTCTATATGACACGTAAGAAACTTTTTTCATTTGTGTGCCTGTTGTTCTAAAGCAGCCTGGGCACAAATACAATAATGATTGTATTGTAAAACTACTTCCATTACATTCTGTGGTCAGTAAACCACTGCACAATGTATAGGATAATAGACCCCCTAACTCTGTTTACCTAAGAGACAAGAATATGTGTATTCTAGTTAGCATTTTTAAGTGCACTACAATCACCTGCAGTTGAGTACTTAGTAAGTCAATACACTATTCGTTTAATAAATATCTAACCCTGTCCATGGAGGACAAAACAAAAAGCATATGCTGGCTAGCATAGTTACTGAATGGCTACATCTTTGGTAGACAATATCATAAAAAAGTCTATTGATTTTCGAGGCTTGTTAACCTGGTTAATTGTTTATGTACAGGAGTGCTTGTTACATTTACACAAAAATGAAAGAACATCTTGTGTATAATTTCTCCGGAGAAAAAAAAACAAATTACGTTTAAAATATGAAATTGTATAGAACGTCTAACAAATAAATTTCTCAAATATTTTTTGTGTGTCTAATCCTAATGTACCAATGCCTCAAATATTTGTACATGTATAATGTGCTTGGTAATCATAACAAAAACAAATTTAAGCATACCAATACGTAAAAGATTGTACAGTTAAAATTATTTTTATAACAGAGCCTGCACGTACATCAGAAAATAATGCAAAATATCTACAGCAAAAAAAAAAAAATGTAAACCTCTAATCGTCCTGTTTATGTTCCTCATTCACAGTTCTTGTGTCTGAAGCACAGTCATCAAACTGGAATACATTATGCACTAATTACCACTCGTAAGGTTATGATGAGATAGAAAGAGCAAATATCCAATTTATCCCTTTCTTAACTCACTCTCTTTCTCTATTATATATATATATATATATATATATATATATATATATATATATATATATATATATATATATATATATATATATATATATATATATATATACACATACACACACACACACATATATATCCACCATACCCATTTAACGTTGCTTGGCACCAGGGGAGTTGGGTGTCAAGTACGTTGATTGCAAAAGTAGACCTTCAGCTCTAGATGGCTTATTTGGCTTCATAAAATTTGAATAAAAACAAAGCATAAATTAAAGAGATACCCATCATTAAAGTGTTCGACCCATTTTCTACGCAATTTTATCATTCAGCCACACACACGAAATAATTATTTAATCTAAACTTGGCACGAGTGATTAATGTGCAGTAAGTGTGTGCACTATACTGATGGGGCTCTTGAGGGTGAATGATGAATAATGAGGGTGGCAGCATGGTCACCCTCATTATTATTAAACAGCAATCCTCATATCGACAATGAATTTTGGGTACATAGTATTTCTACTTTCACTGTGAACTACTACTATTATAAAACCAAAGGGACTCGTGTTCCTCGTCATTACTACAGTAGCGTGAGTAAACATAATTAGCTTACTGTGAGCTGGTTTTATAATTTTTTTATAATTTGTCCCTAAATTGCTAAGTGATATAGTTTATGACACTAACATATTTTAATAAATTTTCATAATTGTACTAGATTTAACATTTAAAATAAGAATGATTTAGATCTTTACAAGCAACTAATTTGTGTTAGTTTTTTTCACTTGAAGGAAGAGGAGTAAAAGTCTTCTGATTCTTGTTTACAGACTCAAGATTTCTTCCTTCTTCAGCTCAATATAACATCTTACCTCACTTGTTTTCCCCAGAACATTATCTTCTACTTGCTTTACATAAAGGTTACAGATTACTGCTAGATGGACTGTGAAGGTACTGTGCCCAATCAACCCAGGGTTTGAACCCTGGAAAAAAAAAGTCTACTTGGATGCAGCCTTTCCTTTAAGGTTGGTTAGTGAAGTAGCTTACACATGACCTATATATATTTTTTTCAAGTATGAATGGGAATCTCCAGGAAGTGATTATACATCTTCTAGCACTTAAGTCAGAAAATAACAGGAAAGAAATGTAAAGTGAATAGCCATTTAGAAGTGAATAACAATATTGCACATTAACTTGCTACAAGTTAGAGTGGACGGACAGCGGGGGATGCATTATGCATTGCTAGCCTAGTCACAGTCAAATTAAACTACCTGAAACTATAGTTTATTAAAATAAATTCGGGCATTTTATACAATTACATTTCTGATCGAAACAACTGTAGTTACTTGTATCAAATGTATTTAAAGCTTGGATAACCGCAGAATACGACACAAGACGAGACTTAAATGACCCAAGTGGACACATCTCGTAGCTCAGTCGATTAAGGCAGTGTCTGGGATTCGAACCTGCTCCCGGACGCAGGTTCGAATCCTCGTCACGGCCCTTGTGGATTTGTTCATTGGACACATCTATATTAAGTCTTGTGCGGTCTCGTACACAATAGTCTAAACAATTACTGATACTGACTATACATACAATATATTTCCACTATTCCTAATAATATTTGTTTACATTAGCTAATATATATATATATATACTGTATATACATTTGACTATAATACACAAAACATAAGACACACTCTTTACAAAATAATTATGATATTTTAAAATGAAGAATTCTTTTAAGTAAAAACACTAATTTAACTTGAAAATAATTTGAGGAATTGGTTTTGGATATAATCTGGGCCAGTAACGGCAGTGTTCACTATGAACGCAGGTGATATATTTACAAATTCACCGAAATCACAGAAGAACATTTATACACTATTTACATGGTAACTTTTCAGATGTAAAAACAATGTTGACAATTGTGTTTACATACGTGCTGGGTGTCAGGTTTGGTCGGTTGTGACACAGTAGAGCAGGCACGACCAGCTGATGGCCCAGGCGTTTTAAAAGGGGAAGTATGTGTAGTATCAGTGTTCTTCTCACACCGGGAGTTTTGTGAAACAAGTTTCCGTTCATCTGTGAGAACGTGTCGTGAAAGATGATTTGCTTTGTCACCCACAACCTCTCTGAGATTTGTCTTGTTTGGTTCGGCTTGTAATTCATTAAAAGCAGGTTTCGTTACTGTAAGATTTGGCTCTACGGAGGATGGTCTCACTATGTTACTTGTCAGATTCTGTGAGGCATTTGCTGGGTGTGGGTGGTGCTGGACCCGGGAGAGAGAAGCCGACCGCGGGGCATGTTTCGACACAATCGTCTGGGTACTGGTGTTTGACCATGTCTTTCTCTCTGTGTTTGTCGAAGAATCCCTTGTACCTGAAACACCATGATTTACCATGAATTCGCTCACGGGTTTGGTGGGAGGGAGTCGAGAATGGGAGGCACTTGCAGATGTCTTGCCGTTGAAGACTTCTAAAGTGCCTTTATTGTTTACAGTAGTTGTCCTGTTAATTGTAGTCATTTTCGGAGTCACGTCGGTGCAATCGATGACTGCATCCTCCACAATGAGGATCTGTACTTGGTCGTGTGGCTTGTTCCTGGCCGCCTGGACCAGCTCGATCTTCGTGGCAGGTTCGATGTTGTCCTTGACAGTGCCGCCGACCGCTGGCCTCTTAACTTCACTTGTTCTCAGAGACAGCTAACAAGAAAATTAACTAATTATGACACGTCTTAAAAGAAGCAATATTTTTGTCTACCAAGAAATGTACAGTGCAACATATATTAAAAATGTCTACAAATATCAAAATTTCAATGAGAGATTATAAATTAGCATCTGCCAGCATCACTTTTTTCACTGATAAGTAGTTAGATGTTTGTGAAGTATGACAATAATAGAAGAACTAATGATAAAAACCCAACATAACACCTGGGTGGAAAAACGGACCCTGCGGAGTGAGAGGGCCTGAGACATGTCTCTCCTGAGGACGAACACAAATTCTGCCTGACGATCCCGTGGCCATCTGCCCTTCACCTCCAGCGGCCTCTCCTCCGCCAGGATGATCCGGTCGCTGTACTCGGGGCTCCGGCGCACCTACCGACACACACACACCATTAATTCACTACATGCTATTTAAATCGATATTCAAGTTAGAGTTGGCAACAGCTGGTGAGAGTGTTGGTGACAGCTGGTGAGAGTGTTGGTGACAGCTGGTGAGAGTGTTGGTGACAGCTGGTGAGAGTGTTGGTGACAGCTGGTGAGAGTGTTGGTGACAGCTGGTGAGAGTGTTGGTGACAGCTGGTGAGAGTGTTGGTGACAGCTGGTGAGAGTGTTGGTGACAGCTGGTGAGAGTGTTGGTGACAGCTGGTGAGAGTGTTGGTGACAGCTGGTGAGAGTGTTGGTGACAGCTGGTGAGAGTGTTGGTGACAGCTGGTGAGAGTGTTGGTGACACCTGGTGTCACCAGAAGAACCAGTATTACCGACTGACATATGCCTGGCTAATATTATTATAATACATTACTGAACACACACACATATGAGCAACACGCAGGGAGGGTAGGAGAGAGGATAGAGAGAGGATAGAGGAGAGTACCTCGTGGATAGCGTAGTAATACTTGTTATCGCGCCTGTTGTAGCAGTTGAGCAGGAGCTGGACCACCTCCTCCGCCGTCGTCCGCTCCGACACCAGCAGCGACTTGTACTGAGACTGTAAAGACACCAAAAAAATCCTCGTTAATATAGGGAGGGAATTATTAGGATGACGCGCCATACCATTACGACTATATGGCACTGAGAAGGGGTCAGGATAAGGATTTGGGATGGGACGGCGGGGAAAGGCATGGTGTCCCAACCACTTGTGGACGGTCGGGGATTGAACGCCGACCTGCATGAAGCGAGACCGTTGCTCTACCGTCCAGCCCAAATGGTCGGTGTATAGAAACTATACCCAAACACTTCGTTAGTATAAGAATGACACGCAAACACCTCGTTAGTCAAGGAACGACACCTGTGGTTCGTATTATTATTATTATTAACATCTTTATTGACAAAATAATGTAGTTCGTATTGAAACGAGACCCAAACACCAACAGCCACTCGCGCCCTAATAACTTTATCACTTAATCACTTTCAGAAGCATATTTCACAGCATTTAATATTTCCTCTGAGCTACGTAGATCAACCTAACTGTTGTGGTAATGTGCGCAGGAGTGTCGGGGCGTGTGGAGGACTCCTGTCATGGTCACTACACCATTGTGGTCCGCGGGGGCCAAGAGTGCTAGAAATACAATCACAAAATGTAATTCCATCCTTGAAAGCTGGCCGCCTTAAAAGATTAAAAGCAAAATATAATGTTCTCAGAGATGACGTAGTTAATACAAGAAATAACACACACAGGACTGATGCGGCCACGCTATTAGTGGAGAGCGTGTACCTTGTTGGGGAACTAAAGAAGTCAATGTCAAAAATCACATCTATTTCTGTGATTGGTGGGAACGAGAAACTTATTGTTGTTGAAAAAGTTCTTTGTGGTGTTTTTTTAACCATGGTGAGAACTTGCCCCTCACGCCCCCCCCACCCTCCCCTAACCTGCTTCTAGGGGAGGGCCAGGGGAAGGGGGAGGTTCTGGAGTCTGACTCTTTCGATTCTTTCTTAGCAATTAGAGTGAGTGACAGGTCTAAATACGAGTTTCCCTATTACTGCTCAAGAACATGGCGGTGTAACTCTTGGACCCGACTCCTCAATTAAAACAATCATACATTTTTTCGTCTGAAAAGCATTCGTCTCATCTCCCACCTCATGAAAACCATCCCAAGTGTACAAGACTCACATTGTGAGTATTTTCTCACTAACCTCCTCACAACCCTGATGCTTAATATGAGCATCGGGGTAGGATCTTGCCACACTTCTGAGAGCATCCTCTATAATGAGCAATTGTACATTATCAGGCACTTAATCACCATCCCAACTGCCTTGTTTAATATCCACGCTGAAATTCGGTCTGATAGATGTAGTTATTTCAGGTGGTTCTTTACTTAGTAAACACCAACACGTTGCTTGTATTCATTCATTCATTCATTCATTCATTCATTCTCATTCTCTCTCCCTCTCCCTCTCTCCCGTACGACCCTCGTTCACGTGTTATGTAGTCGAACACTGACTCCTAATGGTCATATATATTTTCCACATATTGCTTCCTTCAAGCGTTGCATCAGAGAGTTTCTGGCTGCTGAGTCTATGAGCATGACCCTTCACGTCAGCTCTATGTGAACCTCCTTGTCCGGTTGATCTCACCTGTGGTACAAATCTCCAATATGAGCAGTCATGTTCCTGAAGTACTGACCACTTCCACCAACCTCTCCATTACCTTCTTTTGTATGGCTGGAGAGATTAGATGTCGTTCAGAGCGATGCATTTTCATCAACAATAAGGTCCTTCCTAGACACTGCTTAAGACAGGTGATTGACTGGGACCCGTTTGACTTTTACACTGCTTGAATCATATTTATCTTTGTCTACGTCTGTTATGTGGGTTCAAAATATATGTTTTTGCCAGTTATTCTTTGAGCATTTCCATTCTCGCCATAACATTGTATTGGAACTTATTTACCTCTAGTATTGCATTCTGACCTCAAAGCACTAAACGCCAAGTTAGCGTTAAGTTAGCGCTAAGAACAAGGCCACTTGTTCACTTCCTCACTACCTGCCGCTAGTCTGGCAAGACTGCAGGACTTATTTAATGGTTTTCTCCACCATGGATATGATTCATTCATTCTTTTCTGTGGTTTAGATACTTAGTTATAATTCCAGCAATATATATGAGAGAGAGAGAGAGAGAGAGAGAGAGAGAGAGAGAGAGAGAGAGAGAGAGAGAGAGAGAGAGAGAGAGAGAGAGAGAGAGAGAGAGAGAGAGAGAGAGAGAGAGAGAGAGAGACAGAGAGAGAGACAGAGAGAGAGACAGACAGAGAGACAGAGACGACAGAGAGACGACAGAGAGACAGACAGGCAGAGAGACAGACAGACAGACAGAGACAGACAGACAGAGAGACAGACAGACAGAGAGACAGACAGACAGACAGAGAGACAGACAGACAGAGACAGACAGACAGAGACAGACAGACAGAGACAGACAGACAGACACAGACAGACAGACAGACAGGAGACAGACAGACAGACAGACAGAGACAGACAGAGACAGACAGACAGACATGCACAATAAGACAGGTAACGTAAGACATACAGGTCCACGACTCGTCTCATGGAGAAAGAGGAAGACAAATATCCCCATTTAGATCAGCGGTGTTTGTCACTTCTTGGTTCATCAGGTCCTGATGATGTGTTCCTACTGACTTTCTCGAGACGCCTTCAAGGCCCAAGACTCACCACAGCATTAATGTATCATTTTCTAGTCCTTATAATTACTTTAATTAGGGCATAATTCTATTGTTTTTATTTGTACAGATCGAGCCGGAGGTGTTGTCCTCTACTGGACAAGCTACATCTACTGGACAAGCTACATCTACTGGACAAGCTACATCTACTGGACAAGCTACATCTACTGGACAAGCTACATCTACTGGACAAGCTACATCTACTGGACAAACTACATCTACTGGACAAACTACATCTACTGGACAAGCTACATCTACTGGACAAGCTACATCTACTGGACAAGCTACATCTACTGGACAAGCTACATCTACTGGACAAGCTACATCTACTGGACAAGCTACATCTACTGGACAAGCTACATCTACTGGACAAGCTACATCTACTGGACAAGCTACATCTACTGGACAAGCTACATCTACTGGACAAGCTACATCTACTGGACAAACTACATCTACTGGACAAACTACATCTACTGGACAAACTACATCTACTGGTCAAACTACATCTACTGGTCAAACTACATCTACTGGTCAAACTACATCTACTGGTCAAACTACATCTACTGGACAAACTACATCTACTGGACAAGCTACATCTACTGGACAAGCTACATCTACTGGTCAAACTACATCTACTGGACAAACTACATCTACTGGACAAACTACATCTACTGGTCAAACTACATCTACTGGTCAAACTACATCTACTGGACAAACTACATCTACTGGACTACTACATCTCTACTGCTCGAGTGAAAAGGAAGGAAACTATCAGGGGGAAAGCGCCAAGCCATTACGACTATATAGCACTGGGGAAGGGGTCAGGATAAGGATTTGGGATGGGACGGAGGGAAAGGAATGGTACCCAACCACTTGGATGGTCGGGGATTGAACGCCGACCTGCATAAAGCGAGACCGTCGCTCTACCGTCCAGTCCAAGTGATAGGGCGTGACAGTCGTTTTCTAGCAGGAGACTAGGCCTACCTTTGCAATTAGTTTTATTTGTATATATATTTAAATATCTACAGTGTTCAGATTTAAAGTTATGATTAATTTTTTTTTCCAGATCTAGCTTACTACGTCTAATAATTATCTTGAATTCCTTGTGTAATTTGAAGTATTTGTTTACAGTTCACAATGTAAAAATTGTTACTTTGTTGTTTATAAACGTTCCTTTTTTCCCGTCTATAAGTTCTTGTCAATCGCCTACACATTCAAGTGGGATAAATTTTTCATTTTTCATTTTATCTTCCTTCAGATATTGTCAATTACGATGGTTAGTATTTTTGTTTTAAATCTGCCCCACATTTTAGGATGTTTAACATTCAGGAATTATTCACTATACATTATTGGTCTCTCAACTCATTAAAATTTATCTACCTGTAAGTCATTACCTTAACAGTGTTTTTATTACTCAAATTTAAATTAGATTCAGAGTTTAATTAGAAAAAAAATTTATGGTAATTGTTGTCAATCAAGCTTAATTAGAAAATAACTCTACTTACTACCTGATAATCTTATAAAGTATCCTAATTAATCTTAGGATTATTAAAATCGACTTTAATTACATAATTTAATTCTTAATGTTGTTCATAATTTAGTATAAAACAATAAATTAACATGCTTTAGGCTTATTGTAGTCCATACACGAGTCCAAACCTCATTTAAGCGTTAATAAAATAGTGAATGACGATAGTCTCCGTGGTGCAGTGGTAAGACACTCGCCTGGCGTCCAAACCTCATTTAAGCGTTAATAAAATAGTGAATGACGATAGTCTCCGTGGTGCAGTGTAAGACACTCGCCTGGCGTCCAAACCTCATTTAAGCGTTAATAAAATAGTGAATGACGACAGTCTCCGTGGTGTAGTGGTAAGACACTCGCCTGGCGTCCAAACCTCATTTAAGCGTTAATAAAATAGTGAATGACGATAGTCTCCGTGGTGCAGTGGTAAGACACTCGCCTGGCGTCCAAACCTCATTTAAGCGTTAATAAAATAGTGAATGACGACAGTCTCCGTGGTGTAGTGATAAGACACTCGCCTGGCGTCCAAACCTCATTTAAGCGTTAATAAAATAGTGAATGACGATAGTCTCCGTGGTGCAGTGGTAAGACACTCGCCTGGCGTCCAAACCTCATTTAAGCGTTAATAAAATAGTGAATGACGACAGTCTCCGTGGTGTAGTGGTAAGACACTCGCCTGGCGTCCAAACCTCATTTAAGCGTTAATAAAATAGTGAATGACGATAGTCTCCGTGGTGCAGTGGTAAGACACTCGCCTGGCGTCCAAACCTCATTTAAGCGTTAATAAAATAGTGAATGACGATAGTCTCCGTGGTGTAGTGGTAAGACACTCGCCTGGCGTTCCGCGAGCGCTATGTCATGGGTTCGTATCCTGCCCGGGGAGGATTTACTGGGCGCAAATCCTTAACTGTAGCCTCTGTTTAACTCAACAGTAAAATGTGTACTTGGTTGTAACAAGGATTCTTCGCGGCGGGGATCGTATTCCAGGGACCTGCCCGAAACGCTACGCGTACTAGTGGCTCTACAACCATGTAACAACTCTTCTATATATCTCAAAAAAAAAAAAAAAAAAAAAAAAAAAAAGAGAAATAGAGAGAAAGAGAGCAATAAAGAGAAATATAGAGAAAGAGAAAAAAAGAAATGGAGAGAAAGAGACAGAGACAAAGACAGAGAGACAGAGAGACAGAGAGAGACAGACAGACATAAAGAAAAGACTCACCCCAGGCATAAGGACAGTGTCGTGGACCTTAATGACTCCTCCTCGACGCATCTGGAGGGCGAACCTGGAGTCTCCTGGCGGCCTACACAGCGCCAGCTGGGCTGGACGGGCTCCGTCTTCCAGCACCAGTAGTGACCGCACCGGGGCGCCCGACCACCTACCGGAGCAAAAACTCTTGAGGTAAACAATATCAACATCATATATATACACGCTTCCTGTCCCCGACAACGGGAATTAATCATCAATGACCGGAGCACAAACTCTTGAGGTAAACAATATCAACATCATATATATACACGCTTCCTGTCCCCGACAACGGGAATTAATCATCAATGATTAAAACTCTTTTCTGTGAGAAAATACATTGTATGAATGCGGGGATTAGAACCAGTGACCTCATAAAGGCATCTTGATAATGCAATTACAATGCTGTATAGCATAATTAGCTCAAGAACTGGTTTGAGGGCTGGCCACTAACCTGCGGACGGTGACCTCCATTGTTAGGTAGAAGAGGTTGGGGTCGCGGTGCCGCATGCGGTATTTGGAGAGCAGAAGAGCCACCACCTCGCGGCAAGTCGCTCGCGCACTCACGGAGATCGTCTTGTACTCGATGTCGGAGCGCAGGCACTTAGCGAACACTCTAATGGTTGTCTGTGGAGGAAGACGTGGGTTAGAGAGGTGATAGAGACGTGGGTTAGTGTCACACAAGGGGAGAGGTGGGTTAGTATTGTCATGGGAGGGAGGAGTGGGCATTAAGGCTAATGCCAAGGAGTACAAATTAATAAAATGGACTCCAGAACATCTCACGTCTCATACATGGGTTAGAGTGAGGCAGCCCCTACTACAGTCACTGTGCTGCAGATCCCATCACCACAGATCACACCACCACAGATCCCATCACCACAGATCCCATCAGGATATCAAGCCAGAAATCTCTGTCTGTAACCATCTCCAACCAAGACTTCCGAGAGGAAAATAGTCCCCCACTAACTGCTAGAACTATTACAGCAACTACCACCATGCCCATGCCCTGCTACCAGGCATTATAACCCTGTTGTGGCACTAGTATAGTGACCACCAGTACCAGGGAAGCCTCCAGAGACCAGCCCGGAAGCCACCTCCACCCCACGGACCGCGAGAAACAAGACCAGTCTGTAGGGTGACATTAGGGATACCTGGTTGATGGGGTTCTGGGAGTTCTTCTACTACCCAAGCCCAGCCCGAGGCCAGGCTTGACTTGTGAGAGTTTGGTCCACCAGGCTGTTGCTTGGAGCGGCCCGCAGCAGGCCCACATACCCACCACAGCCCCGGTTGGTCCGGCACTCCTTGGAGGAATAAATCTAGTTTCCTCTTGAAAATGTCCACGGTTGTTCCGGCAATATTTCTTATGCTTGCTGGGAGGACGTAGAACAACCGCGGATCTCTGATGTTTATACAGTGTTCTCTGATTGTGCCTATGGCACCTCTGCTCTTCACTGGTTCTATTGCTTGTAATAAACATATTGTTTTTGGTTGTTTATACAACCGTTTCAAGGCTTATGGTTATGTACAGAAGCCCAGCGGTGAGGGTAGGGTGTTGCTGGTATTTAGGTCCAACAAGCCTACTGGCAAGACGGCAGTTGCTTTGACAACAACTTTCTCAGATCAAGCCTATATGAACTATGTTAATATTAGTCGTAACTACCAATAATTTGTCTTCAATATTACAAATGAAACTCTGGCGTCTTAATGGAACTGAAGGTTATCTTGAGATGATTTCGGGGCTTTAGTGTCCCCGCGCCCGGTCCTCGACCAGGCCTCCACCCCCAGGAAGCAGCCCGTGACAGCTGACTAACACCCAGGTACCTATTTTACTGCTAGGTAACAGGGGCATAGGATGAAAGAAAATCTGCCCATTGTTTCTCGCCGGCGCTTGGGATCGAACCCAGGACCACAGGATCACAAGTCCAGCGTGCTGTCCGCTCGGCCGACCGGCTCGGTAGACAGCTTTTAACAATGACTTCAATTTTGTAATTACTGATTCTGTCATCAATAAGGTCACTACACTCGTAAACAAGACTATATTACACACAGAAATCACAATTGCGTGATGCATCAAATGAACAAATCTACGACCATGTCGTAGCTCAGTCGATTAAGGCAGCGTCTGGGATGCTCTCGGACGCAGGTTCGAATCCTCGTCACGGCCCTTGTGGATTTGTTCATTTAACAAGACTATATTACAATACAATACAACAATACAATTTTATTTAGGTAAGGTACATACATACAATAAATATTTACAAGGATTGTTTAACTTATAGGTAGAGCTAGTACATACAATGCCTAAAGCCACTATTACGCAAAGCGTTTCGGGCATATTCACTGGTAATAGTCAACGACAGAGAAATCTCTCTACACAGACAAGTTAATAAATCTGTTACAAAAAAAAGGATTATTCTGAAAAAAAAATGAAATATAATTTTCGTATGTACATCAAACATTAGAAATATTATCATCTCGGAATTCTCATAATTATGAATGCTTCCATGTCTTCCAAATTCCTTAACACGTGCGTAGATACGCATATTTATGCCTCAGTCTTCAATATAAACAGACCTGCAGACGCTGGCAGAGGTGTGTGCTTGAGTACAGGGCACATGCTGTGAATCCAGCAACCCGTTCTCGCACTTGCTTATAGTCAATATTGGCTTATTTAATAAGTGCATATGTGACATACTAATTGATTGTAAATATTTTAGTTTACCTTGAAAAGCTTCATAGAAAACACCGACCTCACCTAACCTTCTTAGTATGTTAAGATAAGCATCTTATTGCTTCAATTATTACTTAACCTATACCGTTGATAGGTTAAGCAATAATTGTAAATAAGAAGCAATAAGATGCTTATCTTAACATAGTATATCACATATGCACTTATTAAATAAGCCAATATTGACAGTAAGCAAGTGCGAGAACGGGTTGGAATACAGATGTGAGTAAATACACAGCAAACTAAATGAAATTTGTGTTATCGGTCAGCAATGTTGACATATTTACGTATGAATTGTGTAGTGTGGCGCCACGGTCTAGCGCCACGGTCCGACACTGAGGTCTGGCGCCGGGGTCTGATCCTTCCGGTCCTCAACCAGTAGAGGAAGGTGGGAAGGAGGGAGATAAAGGGGAAGTGATGGAGAAGAGAGGCGAGGGAGGCGGGAGATGGTGAGAGACGCACCGAGATACTTCTCACACAGGTATACAACACATTAGCCACAGGTGACGAAGACCCAATACAGTAATTATCAAGCCTCGACGGTCCCACGAAACACATTGAACCAGCTGACAATTAAACCTCGGGGGGGGGGGGAACTTATTGATGTGGGAGGGAAGGGGGGGGGGGAGTGTAGCCATGGGAATTTGAGGGGAAGAGGGAGGGGAACAGGTGGGTGGGAGAGAAGGAGAGAAGAGGGGGCGGAGAAGCGTAGGCGGAACATAGGCATTTCCGGAGCTATAGTCTGGTGCACTATGGACTTGTCCGCCCACGCCCACACCTACGCCCACACCACCACTACCAACACCCACATCAACCGATTACTGAAACACGTCAAACAGCCGCCACCTACTCACTGCCAACTCTTCTAATATTGTCAATACACAACCAACAGCACTGTTAGATTAACCTATAGTGAGCTACTAATCCAGTCCTCCGTCGTAAGGAATGAACTAGGCCTCAATATACAAGTTACAGCCCCGCTCCTGTGCCAGGTAAGTCCACTACGGGCTCACCATAGCCTGTGCTACTTGGAACTTTTTGTTCCCAGTAGCTGAATCAAAAACAGCCGCCGCCTCAATGTAAACTCACATTGCTCAAATACCTGATTGATGTTGACCAGACCACACACTAGAAATTGAAGGGACGACGACGATGTTGAGAATGGTCCAGGACGGACCGAAACGTCGTCGTCGTCCCTTCAATTTCTAGTGTGTGGTCTGGTCAACATACTTCAGCCACGTTATTGTGACTCATCGCCTGCACCTGATTCATGTGCTTGATTCGTGACACATGATTTATGTGTGTTTGCTTGTAATGCTACATACTTCATGTGTGTTATTGTTACACATGATTCACGGGAGGGTTTGGCTGCTTGTTAGCATAGATGGCGCTGATTGTGTCTTCAACAATCGTAAATATTACCTGTGTCGTTATGCGTGTGAATCATGAGACAGCAATTGGTACTAATTCCAGAATGGCGTGACTCTAACCTCTCGTTACTAATCGGTAAATCCCCTCTCTCACAAGGTATAAATTTGGCGTTACGAATCGGTAAATCCGGGAAAATATGACCCATAACAATCAATGCTAAAAAAGAGAGATTCATAGAGCCCAAATCTAAACACACACACACACACACACACACACACACACACACACACACACACACACACACACACACACACACACACACACACACACCAAGGTCGCCAATCTAGTACCTGGTAGCGGCCAAGGATATGAGAAGTCACTGGTTTAATATCACAAAGTTAAATAGGATCATTATGGAGGGGGGGGGGGGGGGGTTAGAGAGGCGAGGTGGGGGGGGGATAGAGACCTGGTTGATGGGGTTCTGGGAGTTGACGGGCCTCGGGCCGTCATGGCAGGGCATGAGAGGAACGATCTTATTCCATCCAAATTTCAATGAATAAGACCTGGAGTGGGAGGGAGTTGATGGATGGAGTGGGAGGATGGAGGAGTTGCCAGATGAATCTGTATAACTTGATGGATGGGGGGAAGACAGCGAGTGGTAGCAGGTATCCTTCAAGGCAGATTAGTCGAGACGGGGGCCAGATTCAGGAAGCAGTTACGCAAGCACTTACGAGCGTGTACATCTTTCCTCAATCTTTGACGCCTTTGGTTACATTTATTAAACAGTTTACAAGCATGAAAACTTGCCAATCAACTGTTATTGTTATAAACAGCCTCCTGGTGCTTCGGAGCTCATTAACCGTTTAACCACTGCACTGCGCAAAGCGCCTTTAGGCGCTCAGAGAGTTGTGCTTTTTGTTTTTTAATTTGGCTATATTTTAATGTTTTTTAATGTTTTCATTACTATTTGTGTTTTGAAATGGAAATATTTGACTTTGGAAACATTTTGACATTAAATTTACCTGAACATTTGTAAAAATAACAAAAATATGTCCTTGTCAATTGCACCAAGACGTTTTTGCCGAAAATAGGTGAGCAGTGCAAGGGTTAATAATTGTAAACAAAGCCGCCAAAGATTGAGAAAAGATGTACAAGTTCGTAAGTACTTGCCTAACTGATTCGTGAATCTGGCCCCAGGTGGTCTAGATAACAGAGAGAGACAGGTAGGCAAGGTCCAGATCCGCTCCTGTGCCAGGTAAGTCTAATACGGGCTCACCATAGCCCGTGCTACTTGGAACTTTTTGTTCCTAGAAGCTGAATCTTAAACAACACCAGGTAGTCAAGGTAAGAGAGGGAGACAGGTGGTGGAAACAGCACCACCGGATGTCAGCCAATGAGAAACAGCGTCTTCCCAGCCATTAAGAAGAACCACGCACTTACACCACCACCGTCTTGATGCACAGGAAATTCCTTGACAATAATCACTTCACGATAACAGTGAATCACGGGACCCTACACCACCACCACA